CCTTGAAAAGCAAAAGAAAAACTCCCTCATTAGTACACAATCCCCCCGCACCTCCCCAAACCCCACCCCTTACCCCCAAATATAATCCACTCTGCAACCCTCATTGCGTACTCCTACGATAAAAATAATGCCCTAAAATATAATACTTTTAGAGTATTCTTTCCCCCATAGACTTCAATGCCGTAAACATATTTCATCCAGTTTTTCTCAGTCTTACCCCCACCCCAATGCCAGCCTCCAATTTTCTTAGATTCACAATTTCACATTCCAGATGTGAATAAATATTTGCAGCTCTTGCTTTTCACTGCACCACATCAGCAAATGAAGGTCCAAAGAGCCTCATTTCTTCAATGCATTAAGGTCTCCTCTACAGAGTCAGCTCATCCCTGGTCATATTTTCAGTGCCTTCCAACCTGAAAGGCTTAAAGTCTTATGCTCAGAAAGTTTTCACTGGCCAATTTTCTTTTTTTTAAAGTAGATTACCAGGTCCTTTTTCCAAGTCTGTCTTAGTTGGGAAGTTCCAGTGAAATCTGTCAACCATGAATGACCCTGCTGGTATTTGAAATCCTGGTTGCGTAACTTTGAGAATCACAGCAACAAGCAAGCCAATACCGTATGGCAATTGACAGATGAATGAATGATAGTAACAAGTGTAAGCATTTATTAACTCACACAAAATGTGTGTGTGTGTGTGTGTGTGTGTTTTAAAGTAAAATTTTTCTTTTATACTGGTTTACTTACAAGGTTCATATACATTGTTTTTCACACTGGATCTTTCTCATTTCCTTTACCCATGCCTCCCTCTACCCATCAAATTGTGCGACCCTATGATTATCCCCCTGCCCATCCTCAACCCTCTGCTCCCACCCTCCCCTCCCTTGGATCCTCATACATGTTTTACTAGTTATCTATTTTTAATGGTCTTATACAGTATTTGTCCTTATGGGACTGAGTTTGTTCACTTAGCATAATGCTCTCCAGTCCTTCCCAAGTTAGGTAATGATTTTAAAAATCATTGCTCCTGTTCCCCAGCATGACTGTTCCCCAGATAACATATGTTATCTGACATGTTACAGTCACTGTGTCAGTCTGTCCCATTGGGGGGGGGGGTGTCTTCTTTCTCTGACTTTCCACATTTCCCAGCATGATGCCTTTTCCCAAGAACCGGTCCTCCTCACAACATGACCAAAATGTGTGAGACGAAATTTCACTATCCTTGCTTGACTCTGAGGTTGCACTTCCAAGACACACATGTTTGTTCATCTGGTGGCCCATGGGATATTTGATACTCTTCTCCAACACCGCGCTTCAAAGGCAGCAATTCTTCTTTGGTCTTCCTTAGTCATTGTTCCGCTTGCAAATGTATAGAAGACAATTGAAAATACCGTGGCTACTGTTGTTGTGTGTCATTGAATCAGAGCCAACCCATAGCTGACCACGTCCTAGCAGGTTTTCAGGGGCAATAAATTGCATGGGAGGAGATTGTCCATGTTTCTCTTACAGAGCAGCTGGTAGATTTGAACTGTGTGCCTTTAGGATTGTAGCAAAGCTTCTCACAACTAGACCACCAGAGCTCCCCTAGGAGGTTAGAATTCTGAATTCAGAGCATCGGATTCAGGGAAGGCTCTCAGTGTCATCTCCAGGAGAAGAGAGAGCTCTCTGTTCCCGTGGCCCCAGCATTCCTTGATGCCTTCCTTGGCAGTCTCCACATGGCATGCATCTTCTCTGCCTGTGCTTGGCTTGTCTCTCTGCCTACTTTGCTCTTTTTATATCTCAGAAATGAGTAGGTTTAAGATACATCCTGCGCTGAGATGGCCTTGTGAACGTTACAAAGAAAACCCTATTCTCTAGTGAGATTACATCCTTAAGTATAGGGGTTGTGCCTCTAACACACATGGGGGCGGAGCAGGGCACAGTTTAATCGGTAACACACAAGTTAGCTCTACTCCATGTGGGAGGACACCAAACCAGGGCAGAAACTCCAGGAGATAAGGATCTTTGTACCCCATCCTGGTGGCTGAACCTCCACACATCTGCAGAGCACTCTGTCATCTGGCACTGTTGTCTGTCCATGCGCGCGCGTACACACATACACATACATGGGAGGGCAGAATATCTGGAAGGACAGCTACACCATATATATAGAGTCCATATAGTGTCTTGATTCATGGAACTGAAGGAATGGGTCACCCTCGTTTCACCAGGGAGCCAACCAGCTCAGTGAGACCTCAGACCCACTGCTATTTGACTGTGCAGGCCACTGTGTCCTTCAGACCTGACATGTGAACACACACGTGTACACACACCAGCTGCCTTTCTGAGTTCAGAACACAGTCCTCTACCTTAGACCCACAGCAACCCCAGGTTGAGGAAAAGCTGGTGTTTTCCAATCCCAGTGCTGCTACTTGACCAAATTACTGATCACCCTCTGAGTCTCACTCTTCTCTGCAAAATGGACATGGCCAAGGCCCCTACAAATGGTGGTTGTGGAGTTTAAAGGGAGGAGCATTTCCGAAGCACCTGCTACAATTCTGGGCTCACAGGAGCCCAGATAACCTCCCTCATCGTAGGCTACCCTTGAGCTGAGTGTGGGAATGGCTATTCCCTGAGATGGCACCTCAGACATCCTTGTAACAAAGCCATGGACTCTTACCATCCAGGTCCCCTGTGTCCTCTCCAGGTCTCTTCGAGCCAGGGGACATGCAGTACGAGCTGAACAGAAACAATGTGACAGACCCATCACTCTCTGAGATGGTGGAAGTGGCTATCAAGATTCTGAGGAAGAACCCCAGAGGCTTCTTCTTGCTGGTGGAAGGTAGGTGTCCCAGGACTAGCTGCAGAGACGCTGCCCAGGAGCTGAAGTGGCTAAGAAGAGAGGGACCAGGACATGGGCTACCCAGCTCACAAAAAGAACTATCCCTTGTGTGAGGCTGAAGTGTGGGCTGTAGATTCATAGAACTGTTAGCACCCCAGTCCAGCAGGGTCTTCTCTTTGGGGCATGGAGAGGATGTGCCAGCCTCGTTAAGTTAGGAGGACTTCCTGAGGGAGGAGGCAGGTTTCTTCCTCTTGGAGTTGTCCTGCTCCAGCCTGGCTGTGGAGGGGGTATGTCTTCAGGTCCTCGGTGCTGATGTCGAGGCCAGCACGCATGGGGCTCCCCAGCACCATCCCGGGGAGTCAGCCTTCTGTTCTTTCCTGGTGCTGCCATGTGTAACCCGAGCATTTTGGAAAAGCGCAGACGGAAGCAGTTTTCCAATCATGGGCCTGTTGAACCTCCATTACATCTAGAGACATAAGGTACTTGGAACAGGGCCCAGCAGAGAACAAAACCTCAGGGTTTCCATTAATATAATTAGTATTATAATAACTAATTATAAAGTGAGCAACAGTAGGAAATGATAGAGATTCTGGAATCATCCAAAATTCTAACAGCCTCGGTGGTTCCTAATGTTGTCTTGCTGGAATCCACATGCACACACACACACACACACACACACCACACACAGCCCCCTCCAGCTTCCAGAAGCCATGGCCACCAGCCTGGCTTGCTGCTTTCTTGCCAAACCCTGGGGTTCCCACTCAAGCATGGCCATCCCATCCTGGCCCTGAACAGGCCTCTGAAGCCAGGAACCAGCAGTGGTAACACGGGCTCCCCTGGGAGCCCGTCTTTGTGAACTGGGCCAGGCCCGCCCGCCAGACCAACTGCTCCCAGAGCCACAACAAAGGGAGGACCCACCCTGCCAGGCTGCCAGGCCACCGCAGCTGAGGCCCAAGCTGGCGGGCAGAGAGGCCCGCCAGGCGCCCAGACTCCGCGACCCTCGGAGCTGGAAGTGTCCACCCAGGCAACTTCTTAGGGAGGGGGAGGTGTCCTCTGAGGTCCCTCAGCCCTGTACTACTAGGAAAACCTTAAAGCCAGGCATCCTGCAGTCATCTGCAAGTGGCAGGATAGGATTCAGGCTTCAAGAGGCCTGCAGACACCTGTCAGGGGCACAAGCCAGGCCCCAAGGCTGCCCACCAGCCCCTACACATGAGCAGCTCCGTGGCTTTATGCTCAGAGGGGATATCCTCATGGACACAGAAAAACAGCATTAGAGTGAGTAACTCTTGGACTCAAATCCCAGCAAATTCTACCTTGGTCAAATGACTTCCTCTTTTGAAGGCCTGTTGCTTCATCAATCAAAGGGTCTGATGGTACCCGATACACAAGATAGTTGTGAAAGGGGGTGGGGGAGGCATCAGTTGATGTACCTGACACGCAGTGGGTACTGAGGCACGCTAGTTCCCCTTCCCCGAGGCCCTGAAGTCTTCAGCAACTCCTTCAAGGTGCTGGAGGCACAGAGTTGGGAGCAGAGTGAGGAAGAATACACGTTTCCAGGAGTGAATCTGTTTTGAAATCTCGGCTCTGCACCTTGCATTTGTGTGACTTCGGTCAAGAGACTCATCCTCTCGAGCTTGTGTAAAGGGTAAAGGGCTGTGAGAATGCTTAGTATGGTGCGTGGCACAGAGCGGGTACCAGGTGAAGGTGGCTGTCGTCCCCCGTCCAGGAAAGGTTGATCAGGAAGTTAATCGGGAGGGACGGTGAGGGATTGTAGCCCCTCTTCCCCTGCCCCATCACTGAGACCTTTGCCTTGGTGTCCCAAGGAGGCAGGATTGACCATGGGCATCATGAGGGCAAAGCCAAGCAGGCCTTGCACGAGGCAGTGGAGATGGACCAGGCCATCGGCCTGGCAGGCACCATGACCTCTCTGGAAGACACACTGACTGTGGTCACTGCTGACCACTCCCACGTCTTCACCTTCGGTGGCTACACCCCCCGTGGCAACTCCATTTTTGGTAGGTGGGGTTCCGTTGATGTGGGCACTGAGTGCTCTCAGGGTTTCCTGTCCGCTCATCTGGGAGCAGGAATGGGGTGGGAGAGCCAGCAAGCCTGGCACACAGTGGAGACTTAGTGAGAAGTGAGTATGATGATTACTGATAGGTGGAGAAGTACAAATGAGAGGATGGAGCAGGGTTAGTGGGTGATTGGGTGGATGGGAGCGTGGATGTTACATGGAGGAGGAGTGGACAGAAGAATGGAATACAGGGAGAGGAGACAGAAGAGGAAAAATAGGGAGATAGATGGGAGAGGTGTGGGTGTGGTGAAAATGGGGATGGTTGGCTAGAAGTAGCTTTGGAAGTGCCTTCATGCAGGTGGTTCTGGTCCATGTTGGGGGCTAGAGGATGGTCTCTTAGTACTCCAGCATGACCCCAGGGCTAACCCTTCTCATGCAGGTCTGGCCCCCATGTTGAGCGACACGGACAAGAAGCCCTTCACTGCCATCCTATATGGCAACGGACCAGGCTACAAAGTGGTGGGCGGTGAGCGAGAGAACGTCTCCATGGTGGACTATGGTGAGGCTGCCAAGACCCAGGGCTGGGAGGGGACCAGATTCCCCACTGGGATGGGCTAGTGAATAGAATATAAATTACAGGCAAGGTTGGGCATCTCAGAATAGCCAGGACTTGAGCCATTATGATCACGATTGGAATCCCGGTCTCCGTGTTAGCAGCTCTGTAACTTCAGACACATAGCTTCCACCTTCTCCTGCTTCACTTTCTTCCCTCAAAGGATTCTACCACCCTAGGTTGTCTAGAGCAGAAAGTGGGTGTGGAAAGAGTAGCATAAGTGCCTGGTGTGAGTAGAGGTTGGATCTGTTCTGCTACCATTCTTACTGGCTATAAAATATTCCAGAATATTAATTTCCCAGTGTGTTCATTCTTTCTTTATATTATTGAGTTTTCCTTTGTTCTTGATACCTACAGGGATTTCTGGTCCCACTCATGCTAAGAGGCAAATCTCACTCCTGCATTTCACTCTTCCCTAACAATCCAAACACCTAGTGCCATTGAGTCGGTCTTGTGTAGGCCAGAGCAGAACTGTGTGCTCCACAGGGTTTTCAATGGCTGTGTTCTTTTGGATGGAGATCGCCAGGCCTTTCTTCTGAGGCATCTCTAGGTGGACTAGAACCACCAGCCTGTTAGTTAGAAGCTGAGAGTTTAACTATGTCATCTAGGGACCCACGCAGTCTGGATGAGATTAGTTTTATCTTTTGAGGAGGTGAGAGTTTATCCCAAGAATAAACTCAGATTTGAACTCGATGGCCTTGAACAAAATGTACTGCACCTCAGTTTTCTCTTCTATAAAATGGGAGCATTCAGACCCACCTGGACAGAGAACAGAGAAGCTGCACTTATAGCACCAGGTCCCTGCTTGGCAGCTTCTTAATAAGTGTTTCTTCTGGCCCACAGCTCACAACAACTACCAGGCCCAGTCAGCTGTCCCCCTGCGCCACGAGACCCACGGTGGGGAGGATGTAGCCGTCTTCGCCAAGGGCCCAATGGCGCACCTGCTGCACGGCGTCCACGAACAGAACTACATCCCCCACGTGATGGCTTACGCAGCCTGCATCGGTGCCAACCGCGACCACTGTGCCTTGGACAGCTCAGCGGGCAGCCCCTCTCCAGGTCCCCTGCTGCTCCTACTGGCCCTGCTCCCTGTGAGCATCCTGTTCTGAGGGCCTGAGGCCTGGGCACACACCAGCCCATGACAGATGGCCAGCCTCTCTCTCCCAGAGCTGCCCTCCTGCCTGGCAGCCCACACCTCAAGGGGCGTGGAGGCAGAAGCCCACGAAGCCCCTTCTCAGCTGCCAGAAAAGGGACCCAAGAAACCAAAGCCTGCCGCCCACCTGGCTCCTCTCTGGAATCCTCTACCGGGGCCAGACCAACTCCTTGCTCTGTTCCCCTCTCAACTGTCCCCTTGGCCAACAGGGTAGGTTTCTCTTGGGTAGGCAAAGAGCACAGACTGCGGAGTTCTCAAAGCATCTTATTTTTCTAGCAAACATATTTCCCCAGCCCCGGAGGCTCCGGAGCTTCCATGGAACATTCCAGATCTAATGGCACCCTCTCTCCCTTCTCCTTCCCCCTGAAACTCACCAGGTCCTACTATGCTTTTGTCCCTGTCCCCAAGCCCAGCCCTGCTACAGAGGCAACCAGCTCCCTCTTCTTAGGATGGAGTTTGCTCACTCATTCATTCCAAGATCATTCAGGGATCCCAGGAAGTTCAGTCCTGGGCCCAGGCCCCAACCCCAGGGTGGCCCGGACTGAGAAGAACAGGCCATGGTGGGCAGACACTTCCCAGCTCCCATGATGCATGCCAGCTCTTCTCTGAAGCGACTCTCCTGTTTAGAATGGCAGCAAAATGTCTCTTTTTGGTGTTGGTTAAAAGGGAACTCAAAACATTTAAATAAAACTTTCCAAATATTTCTGAGGACAGAGCTGAGTCTTTGTGGTCAGTGATGAATAAACTGAAATACGCTCATTTCTCTGGGAAGAACCGGACTCAGGGCCTAGGGTGGGGGTGGCAGTTGAGCAGAAGGAGAGGGGTCTCTTGATGGCCTGGGGGCTTTGTCACTCATGTTGCTTTGCTCCTCTGTGTCTCAGTTTCCTTTTCTGTAAAGTGGTAGACTACCCACTTGGGGTTGTTGAGGAGTAGAAAAGAGCCCCCTGTGCAGTAAGATCCATACAGAGAGGACTTCGGGGACCCTGTCGCCTGTTGTTCATTATCCATGAGGAGAACTGCACACATGGTCCTTTGTGGCTACTTGCTTATTTCATTCACTCAACAGATTTTTAGTATTGTTTTAGGCATTCTGCTAGGTCTCAATTTAACACGAAGAATATCCTGTCTTCCCAAAGAACATACAACCCAGTTCAACAATTGGACTTTTCATTCCTGACTGTCAAGAGGGGGAACTGGAGTCAGAATTGTGCCTGACACTGGACGTATTTGGAGTTCCCTGACTTTGCTTTCTTTCCTCATTGGGATAAAAGCCCCTGTAATGAAGATAACCACAGCAAGAGCACTGATCATTTACTCCAGGCCAAGCTCTATGCTTGATGTTTTATGTTCATTTCATTTAATCTCACTAGGAAGTAGGTCCTCATCAACCACATTTATAGATGAGGAAGCCAAGGATGTGGGAAGGATGCAACCGCCCAACATCCTCCAGATGAGTTGTGAAGCTGGGATTTGAATCCAGATCTGTCTAATGGCACTTAATAGCATCCCCTATTTGCTTATAATGCGTTTCCAACCTCCTGCCAACCAGGTTTTAAGGCAACCAATACCACAGACCAGTTAATGTAAACAGAGAAAAAACGTATGCCAGAAGTGGGAGCTCCCACTCCATTTGGGAATGAAAGCACAACTGAGGAGAAAATGTTTCCCTGAGCGTCCTAGAAGCTCATGTGAAAATGGAAGAACAACCAAGCAGGAGGGGTGGGGTGAGGGAATTAAAGGACATGTGTGTATTCTTGTTGAGACACCTTATCTCAGACCCTACACAGTCCTATCACCCTCTATGGTAACTGTTGAGTTGGGGGGTCTGGTCCAAGCTTGTGGTCCTACTCTATCCATCAGCACACCTGCCCTTAAACCTGGAAGCTGTTGATGTCCATAGAACAAGGGTGTCTCTGAAATTCACACAGGGAGGACTTAACAGGGGGGAGGAGCATGGGTGAGCCAACACATTTTCTTCCACTCACAGCAGTAGCCTGGTTATAGACAAACTGAAATCTCAGTAACATAATAAACTTTTATTCCTATTTCCAACACCAGTCAAATGAAAGTGCGGAGTCAGTGGCTGAGGAGACCCAGGCTCTTTCTACCTTGTGGCTCTGCTCTTACATTTTGGATGTCCTTCACATCTGCCAGCACAACCTTAAGGAAGTAAAGAAAGTATAAGACTATTTAACCACATAGTAAAGGAAGAATAAGACTGTTGCATCTTGAATGCAACACCTATCACTTCTACTCATATTCCATTGGTGAAAACTAGTCCCACCAAATGCAAAGGAGATTGGGAAATGTAGTTTCTAGCTGGGTGACTGCTTCCTACCAACTCTACAACAGAGTTTCTTAACCTTAGCACTAAGGCCATTTTAGGCCAAATAGTTCTCTTGTGTAGAGCTTCCATTTGCACCGTTAGATGCTGACAGCATCCTTGGCCTCCACATACCACACACCTTGTTATGTTATGGGAACCAACTCATAGCTGAACCTCCGGAGAGTTCTCAGAGGCAAAAAACTATGGAAGGACATCGTCCATCTTTTTCCCATGGAGCAGCTGGTTAATTACAACTGTGTACCTTGGGGTTGGCAGTACAGTTCCTCACTGCTAGACCACCCGAGTTCCCTTATAGTACCACTGTTCCCGACGTCACAACCAAAACTGTCTACAGACCTTGTCGAATATCTCCTGAGGGCCAAATCGTACCCCCAGATTGAGACCACTCTTCTATCGCAGAGAATGAAGGTGCTAAGTTTGAGTCAATGGGCTGCTGGCCTCCTCAGCCTTGCTGTGTTCAAGGCCGGACTGCTGACTCAGGCATCCCTGACACTCATCAGACACCCTGGAGCACCTTTTTCTCAAACTCTGGAGACGTTCAGATACTATCTGGTTTTCTGCAAGTTTTGGGAAATGAAGTTGGACTGGTAGTAGGCTGCATATTTCTGACAGTGGCCAGGGCAGGGGCCCAGAGGCGATTTATCCATCAGGTGGTGACTCTACTGTTGGCCAGAGTCTCCAGCACCCCTGCAGTCTTACATGGAACCCTTGTCCGGTCCTGGCAGAACTGCTCTCTGTGTGTCAAACTAGATAGGTCCCAATCTACCATCAACATACCTGACTTTAGACCTGGAGGCTATGGAGGGATGGCCAATTCCCACCACCCATGGATGTCTGCTGCCCTCAGAGGCTGGGAGAAAAGACAGCAAACATACCTGATGGTCTCCTCTTGAGGCATGCACAGCTCTTGGCAGAAAATACCAGAGACAATCTAGGGCAGTAGGAAACAGAAAACTTTGGGGGTACCTGATCCAACAAGGGTATAAGTGGGCATGGAGATAGGGAAGGCAGAGAGTGAGATACATTTAAAAGAAGTGGTAGGCTTTCAGCAGGGCATGGGGATATGGAGAAGTGTTCAGAAGCAAGCTTTGTGCAGAGAGATGAGCTTGGAAAATGAATAGTTGTTATGTGCTGTCAAGTCACCTTTGATTCATAGTAACCCTGTGCACAATAGCTCTGAACCTTGTCCTACTCTGGGCCAATCTCACTGTCTCTGACAGAGCTGGCTCTATTACCCCATTGTGTTAATGTATCTCATCTGGGGTCTTTCTCCCCATGCAATGTCCCTCCATCCTTCCAAGCATGATGTTCTCTCCAAGAACTGGTCCCCCTGGCAACACGGCCAAAGTATGTGTGACGAGCCTCAAAATCCTTGCCTCCAGAGAGCAACTTGATTTCATCCTCTTCAAGACCTAAAATGCCATTCAGGTGGCAAAGGGTTGACCGTGGAGATCCTGGGGAACCATGGAAGGTTCTGGAGCAGAGTAATGAGTATCATTTTGGAAGTATCATCCTAATATCCTTGCATCCAAGCAGCTGCAAGAAGAGGACCTGGGAGAACAGGGATGCGGCTGCTACATTAGCAGCAGGAGAAGCCGAGTGATGGGTCCTGCAGAGGGTAGATTATCCCCAAGTATGTGCCAGAGTCGAGAAAAACCCTAGTCCTCAAAGTAACATTTTTACTTTTATCACTTTAAAGACATTTGGGTAGTTGTTGTTGTTGTGTGCTGTTGAGTCGCCTGAGACTTTTAGCTTCCCTCTGAAGCCTGCCCTGTCCTGAGCCAGTCTCACTGACTCAGACACACCTACCCCCATTGTCCTAGTCACTGTATCAATCAATCTCATCTGGGGTCTTCCTCTCCTTCACTGTCCCTCCACACTTCCAAGCAAGATGTCCTTCTCCAAGGATCGGTCCCTCCTGTCCCAAAGTATATAAGATGGAGCTTCAAAATCCTAGCCTCCAAGGAGAAACTTGGTTTCATTCTCTCCAAGACATATCTATTTTGGTGGTCCATGGTATGTTCAAGACTCTTCTCCAGCACCACAACTCAAAGGCATCTATTCTTCTATCATCCTTAGCTCTCCAATGCATAGGAAGTAATGGACTTGATCCGGCACACCTTCGTCTCCATACTGACTTCGTTGCTTCTCAGTACTCTGGAGAGTACTGAGAAACAATCATTTTATTTGGGTAATGATTACAAAATTTGGTTATGGTGTTTCTGATTGATAGGAGAATGCAAGGACTGAGTTCTTAGAAAGACTCGGTTTCTGTTTTGTCAAGAAGAAAGCTGTATCAGCACATGAACTGACAGATCTCCAGCACATTATTTTGAGATTGCATACAGAAGAGAGTAGGATGCTTTTTATGTGCCACAAGCCTTACTACCTCCCACAAGACCTGCACTGGAGGCAGGTCTGTGAAGTTGCTTCTTTGAGAATCTGTTCTCAGTCTGTTCTCTTTGCCTCTCAGAATCATTGCCACCAAACTGTGAGACAGGCATTTCACAGATAGGGCAAGTTGAGGTTCAGAAAGGCACAGTGATACTCTCCAAGTCCCAAGGCTCATAAGAGACAGCTGAGAATTAAATCTGAGTCACCCTGATTCCCTGCATCTGAGATGCACCTGAGAGCTGGACAATAAGGATGGCAGAAGAACTGATGCCTTTGAGTTGTGGTTTTGGAGAAAAGCACTGACTATCCTATGAACTGACAAAAGAACAGACTGACTTGCCTTGGAAAATACACAATTAGAGTGCTCTTTGGAGGCAAGGATGGTGAAGCTTCATCTCACATACTTTGGGGATGTTGCTTCTTGGACATTGTCAACTCAGATCCAGCTCATAGCTGACCCTCCGGCTGGTTTTTTAGAGGCTGTAAATGACACAGGAGGAGACTGCTCATCTTTCTCCCACAAAACTACTGGTGGATTTCAACAGCATGTCTTCAAGGTTGACCAGCACTTCTTACCACTAGGCCACTAGCG